TTTGGTTTTGGTTTTGGTTTTATGATGCTCAGTTGAAAACTGCTGTAATCTAAAACAAATCAAAAACAATAATTACCAGACTTTTTGCTCTCCGCTTAACAGAGGTGTTTGCTGATTGCAGGTTTATTTTATGGTAAACGTGGGAAAAAAATTTTGGGACTTCAGCTGGTGTCCGCTTAATATGGGGTCCGCTTGATACAGGTTTCACTGTATCAGCCAAAAAAAATTATTAGGGCTGGCCCTTGGAGTGTCTACAGGATTTTCAGAATAATCTGCCATTCATTAAATCCATTTGAATGGAGATATTCTATGCCCTAAAGGTTAGTCTTTGTTTTAGGCCTCGACTTTTTTGATACCTTCCATAATTGGCACTGAAATGTCAAACCCATCCTAAGGGTGAATGAGATGGTTAACTATAACATTTCTATCAAAATAAATGAGTGGATTTTGTTCCAGGTGGAAGTGAAACAAGCTATAGCCGACACTTAGTGTTAATTGGTGAACAACTTGGAGTGAGGTATGTTTGTTAAAATGTAGGCACAAAATTTGACCTCTGCAACTCAAAATTAACCATCTTTTGGCTCCGAAACTATTGACTACGGGAACATAGTGACCTCTCTACCCTCTCAAGTAGGTAAACCATGCTTAATGACTTGTTACACGACTCACTGAAATAGCAAAAAAACTCTGTTTAGTGCACTTCAGTGTTGGCAACTGAGGCATGTGAAACACTGTACCTGCATAAGTTGCATTGCTATTTAGCGGGAATTTATCCCTGACAGCATGTGATCTCACTGGCTACCTTGAGATTGCGTGGCATTCAATGAGGAAACTATGTCCAGCTCAAAGTCTTTTACCAGACAACATTGCAAAATCAGTGCTGGAATCTGAGAACCTGCTAATCATGAATTAAGTAATGACCCTACTTTGTTAGACATTTAAATCTGTTGCTTTTTCGATTTATGCAGTTAAATGCAATTTAACGGAGCCTAAGTCTTGTCTTCACGGTCAGCAGCATTTAGATCTGCGCATACGTGAGGATTCCACCTGTTCTTGGGCCACAGGGTGTTGTAGTAGGTTTGCGTTGAGTCAATGTTTTCCATAAGTGTCAGAGTATTAAGCGTGGGGGCTCTTCTCAGAGGTTGTTTCCCCTCCCCTGTCCCTCCCTCTCCTTCCACTGTTTTATCAGTATGACGGTGCCTACTTTGGGGGCTCATGGCTGGGTTACCAGGATTTGCCAGCCATGGGAGTGGTCTCCATCTAGGAACTGGCTGCCAATAGTGGAAGCTCCTGAAAGTCTCAGGCACCCAACCTCCACTTAGCAAGGCAGTAGTTAACTTCTCTGTTAACATAACCTCAACCAAAAAATTGTTCACTTTTGTCAATCTCTTATTATAGGACAATTGTTGCAAATCACAGAGGATTTGGTGCATCTCAGTTAAAGGTGACAATGTTATTTAACTTTGAGAGAGTTAGGTTCAGTAGAAAAAGTCTCTGTGGAGAGATCTTCAAGATTTTGATTGATATGTTTGTTTCCTGTCAGAATTTTATCAGAGATTTTGATCAGAACATTAGCATTAATGAAGCTGTCTTTACACAGACACCTCGCACTTTCTGTGCAGCGAACACTGAAGATCTCAAGTTTGTTCTAGCACACATTCATGAGGCTTATCCTAAGTCACCCATCCTGGGTATGGGGATTTCAATGGGAGGGTAAGTATCTTTGAAAATGTACTTTGTTTTTACAGTCAAGTGTCAGGAGTAACATTTTTAGTGCTCAGTTTGTTTATCGGTAAGAATAGCTTGAATTTAGGGCTTCAATTTAATGTTCACTTGAATTTAACGATGATGCTAATTTAAAAAAATATATGACTCAATGAAACTTTGTTTCCTTGAGCCTTGAAAAACATAATCCCTTGCAACTCCCGCTCTTGTACTAACACAGGCTAAATGTAGGTCAGTGGTGAATGGCTGGGGCAGATACAGGATTTTAGAGAAGGGGGTTCGAGATACTAACTGTGGATGTGGTCCCCTGTAATGGGGTCTGGTGATATCCTCTCCCAGAAATGTTTAAAATTGAGGTCTTCCAGCATTCTGAGACCAAGTTGGCATCTTAGAATGTCTCATTTTTTTTTGATGTAGGGGGTTTGCCTGAACCCCCCCCCCCTAGATCTGCCCTGGAATGGTTCTCTAAAAAATTTGTCTCTCACAAGATTTCAGTCAAATTCCACTGGTATTGCTGTATTTATTGAATATACAATTTTTTTTAATTTGGAAGGCTTAGAAAATCTAAGATCTTGAGGCTCAAGTTTACCATTTACCATCCCTTGTATTTGTTTCACTTTCCTCTTAATATGATCATTTTGCTAAATGCTGAATTTTAATTTGAGTACTGTTTATTATGCACAGCATGATCCTGATGAACTACTTGAATGAGATGAGAGATAATGAAGAGTCTGATCTTGTTGGAGTTATGGCCGTATCAATCCCTTGGAACTGCATGGAATCATGTGTGTCGCTTGAACAGCCAATCAACAGCTTTCTTTTCAATAAGCACCTGACAAGGAACCTTGTGAATATGCTGTATAGGTAACTTACATGTACCAGTGGTGGATCCAGACCTTGAGCTAAGGGGGGAGCGGGGGGGAAGGGGTGGTGGTGCAGGTTTTTTTGCTTGCAAGCCCTGTCAGCTTTTCTTACTTCTGTGATGTTTTCTTTTTTTACCCAAAATAGGGGGGGCCGTGCCCCCCCCCAGCCCCTTCCCTAGATCCGCCATTGTGTACAGTAGTTTACATGAACATGTAAGCAAGATCATTTCAGGCAAATTCTAAGAGAAACTATGATATACAAACCAAATGTCATTCTCAATACCTCTCCCCCCCCCTTCCCAAATAAGAAAGGAAAAAAAATATCTCTTACAGTACTTCTGTAATCTGAATTTCCTCAAAAAGTTTTCGTTTCAAACGGGACTCCCTTGTTGTTTGGCAAGTGAAAGACAGAATCTGCTTGCAAAATTGCAAAATCTACTAGCCACAGACTATCACACATGACTTTTTTTGCATGTTGACAAAGTAGCCATGTTTTCACCCAGTGACGAGTGAGTGAGGACTCCCACTATTATGGCAGTGACATACTCGTTTAACAGTTTTGGAAACCAAAATCTGTTTCTGGGCAGGAGATGATTCAAGTCCATTTTCAATACAATAACATAAACATGACATCATTAGTTAGGTGTCCACTGTTAGTCAAGAGAAAGTTTTGTTATTATCACTAGTATTTCTTTTCTTGACAACTAGTGAACTTGTTTATTTGTGGCTTTGTGTGGTGTTTTGGAAACTGGAGTTAGACATTGTTAGCTTGAGAAGTGATAATTCATAAATTATAGAATTAAATTCATTAGTATATTTTGTTTCATTTACTGACCTTCTTTGATCTGATTATACTTTTAAAGGAATCTTGAAGTGTTTGAAAGCCATTTGGGGAATCTCCCATTTGACATTCACCATGCATTGAAGGTAGATAATCTCATGCACTATCTTATTTTTACTTAAAAAATAGAAAACATGTAACATGTTTTTATCAAATTTTAGTATAAATCTACTAGCGTTCTATCACGAATGCCGCTCTCTGATTGGCTACACTACTCACTATCTATTCTGTGAGAGATAGTGAGTTGTGTAGCAGTGTGCCCTTGTTAACAAAATGACGGCCCTTTCTTGGCATTTTCAAAGTATGTTTGAAGAGGGTTAGTTTAAAGATTTGAATGACTCTGAGATTTATGCTAAAACAATTAGATTATTTGCTCTCGATTCCTATGTGTGATAGAAATCTTGAGCTCATCATCATCATCATCATCAGTTCTCGAGGTGCTAGTAGGCGCATAAGGCATAATCTACACGTAATTGTTAAATAGAAACACGAGTGGAAGTTTGGGCGAAGGAAAAATGCCATGAGAACATGAGCCAACAGGTGAGTGTTTCCACAGCTTCTTCGAGTTCTCCCAAATTTCCACTTGTGTTGCTATGGCTCAACAGAAACATGGGGGACATGTTTTTTTATTTCTTTTAGGAAAATTCCACAATGAAAAACAGGGAACAACTTGTTTACTTTGATTATCAAAATGTAAATTCTCTTTGTTCATACCATCATTACCTCAACAGCTCATGCTAGTTTTGTGTTTCTATTGAGTTTTAGAAACATGATTTTAAACCAATCAGTGTCTGTAATTTCTTTGGGCTATTTAATAATTTTTTTTCATATATACTGTTCGTGTCAATTATTTTGCTAAATATTTTGCGTCAACTTTATAAATGTTACAATTTTGAAAGGGACTGACTAAATGAACAGATGCTGTTGCTTATTATTAACTTTAATTTTAATATCATAATAAACAAATAGTAATTTTTTTCAGTCTCGGACCATACGTGAATTTGATGACAGATTTACATCTCCAACATTTGGCTATCGTAACTATGAAGAATACTACAGTGCGGCAACCCTTCACACTAAACCTCTACATACCATAAAAGTTCCTGTACTCTGTTTGAATGCTGCAGATGATCCTTTCTCCCCTCTACACGGTTAGTGCTTCATGCATTTATTTATTTTATTAACATTTTAAATTAAAAACAAGCAAAATCAAATAGTAGCAAAAACAAATGCAAAGGACTAGCATCCTATCTACCTGTAGAGTAGCAAATTATACTCAGGTAGCCACTGACTTCATGCCATAGAAACAGGTATAAACAAACAACAGTGTTGGCAGTTATGCCGTGACTGCCATGATATCAATACTTAAACATTGATATCACAGATTACAAATGGTGCTATTAATAAAAACCAGGCATCCTTAACAGGGTTCCAGGTATTGAGCTTTAAAGCCAAGCTGTATGTTGTGTTTTTGGTCAAAACTCTTTCAATTACTCATCAGATTTCCTCTCCATGCAAGCATATAAATGCATATATTTAATGTGTGGGGCAGACCTGACAGAAAATACTGGGGGGTGGGGGGTGGGAGCTGGGTAATGTGCAACAGATCAGGACCACTGGACCAGGTCCAGGCAGATTCACTGTGTTGTCAATCACTGGTTGGCACTCCTGATTTGTTGAAGTTTGTCCAATTTCCAGGATAACAGACTTTTTAATACCGTCCATACATATCTCATGTTTTACTACATGCTATTCATATTGTTGAAGTCATATAAATTCATATTTCATTGGTTTGTCATTACAGCAATTCCACTGGAAGCACTTGCACAGAACTCAATGGTTTCCATGGTGCTGACATCTTATGGTGGACATATTGGTTTTGTGGAGGGAATCACAATTCACAAGAGCAATTACATGGAAAGGCTGTTTTCTCAGTTTGCTAAAGGAATATTTGAACTTGCCAAGAAGGACAAATTGAAAGAAATTCTCGAAGACACCTCTTCATGAAAAATAATGTATTTTATTTACTTGATATGGTTTCGAAAGCTACTTCCACACATGGTGCTAGAGCAAAGTGCCCAAGATGATTCTTGCTGGGCACTTGTGTGAACACACCTTTTTCCAAGTATTTGCACCAGAATTCGGGTGCAGTGCCCATGTCCAGGCACAAGGTCTAAGCGCTGTACTCAGGCACTAAATGGTACTTGGGTACTTGGGGTACCCAGTGTCCGAACAAAACACTATTTTGTGCCGGTTGCCCACTGCAGGCAACAGTGCTTGGGCACCAAGTGTAAACACAGCCTTAGTGGTGCATATTAAAGGAGCTAACTCACGGTTTGCACATCTTGAAAGGTTTAGCCTAAATCTTTCAAGTTTGCCATTTGTAATCCATGTTAATCTTCTCCCCCCTAAACCATCCTGTTTCCTTTATCGTTTATTGCTATGTCTGTGGTGTTTTTTCTTTCTTAGTAAAGTTCTATTTTCAGGCTTCCTTCAATTTAGATGTAATTTTGTCATCGCAAAAATAGCTAAAAATCCTGTGATGTAAAGCTCCTTTAAGTCCATAGTTTTCAGGACTGATTCATGCAGACTAGAATGTTGTGAACAATATTAATCTTAAATACCACAAAAGATGTCATGTCAGCATAATGCTGCCTAAGCTGTAAATATTGGACCTTTTCTTTTTGATATACAACTTAATCAAAAAGTAAGACTCACATTGTGTCAGAGATGTGATCAGACATTTACTGAAAGTAAACAAGTTATATGTAATTATTGTAACCCTGTTTGATAAATTAGCATACTCTACACATTATAAAAAGATTAAGTTATTGCATAATATAGTGACAGCAGACTGAAGCATGTAGCAGTTGAGTGTGTGAATAGCTAATGTTTTGCACTTCTGATTGTTTTACTTATGGTCGGCTTTCAAAAAATCTAAATCAAATATTTCTTGAGGAGAAAGTTTACTTAAGACAATTTTTGCATGCAGTGTTTGATACTTACTGAAAAACTCAGAAAACCGGTAAGAGTATAAATGTTTGAAGAATTTTATCGTGCAGATAGGGAAAAGCCAAACTAGACCGCAAACAGCTACGATCACTTTGTTTGTGGTTTTGAGGTTTGCTCACATGTCCTGAACTTTATGTGGTTGGTCAGTACACAATTGACTTGTCAGAATCAAATCAAAGTATTTTATATGATGTCAGGACCTTGATCAATAATTTACTACCCCTGTATTCCCCATCATACCTTATGATCTATAGTCTATCTAGGGGTCCACCCCTTGGGGGGAGCCAGTGATATGCACATAAAGATGCCATACCATATCCAAAACTTTGCTGTTGGAACTGCAGGCTCAGTTTATTATCAGAGGTAGAGTAAAATTTTTTAAAGATTTTTAATGAAGTGATACTGAGTTGACCTAGCTGCACATCCATGGCTTGTAATTAAAAAGATATTGAATTTTGAGGAGGCTGCCCCTTTTCTGGAGGCGTCGTTACCCTGTTGAAATTGCTGTAATGTTTAAGGCAAATAAGCAATGATGATGACGATGATGATGAAAGTTGCAACCAGCAGCTTAATACTAAGACATATTTGCCTGCAGATTATCAACTACATTGTTTAGGAGGCTCATTTAATATTTTGCAAAATCAACAGAAAGGGGTCAAAAATTGGTCTAAAAGAGAACAGTAAAACTCGGGCACATGACACTGACCCACTTAATTTCTGGTAAAACTAGTAAACATCAGTTGTATAATAATTTTCTCATTCAATGTAAATGCATATATGAGTAAAGACTTACAGACAGTGTAAATAGTTTTCAGCTGGGCTGTCCGTCGTGTGTAACCTGTACACATTCTGTCATTTATTTAAAAGTTGACAGTGCACTCCAGATACTAATATTTCACTCTTTATTAAAGGTTCTCTTTCTGTAGGGGAAAGATATCTGTCATATTCATTTACAGGTGCACTTCCATGACAAAGCATGGGTAAAATTGATTCAATTTTTTGTCAAGAATTTTTCCATTTTCTCTCAACTATCTCTAAGACAGTGACCTACTTTTCATAAAATTATGGGCTGCAATTTAGGAATGCTAGAAATGGAAAAAGCATTTTGAAAATATCCAAATGGCCAAGTTTGAGGACCCTGGCATTAAAGAATGAGATTTTATGATGGTTCGAAGTTTAAAAAACTAAGACCAAGACCTTGCTCTCCAGCAACATTTTCCATAGATATCCTTAAAATTTTCAGAAATTCAAACTGTTGTATAAACTTACTCTTTAATGCCAGGAGCCTCCCACTTGGCCATTTTGGAATTTTTGATATGCTCTTTCCATTTTTGGCATTCTTAAGTTACAGCCCATAATATGTACTTTTTTAGCTGCAAAGGGCTTGTTACTTGCAAGGTATCATTAAGGAAGTCATTTATAAAATTTTTAAGTTTTATCAAAAAATTATTTAGTATTACTTTTAATAACGTCATTACAGTGTAATCAGTTACATTGTTGAGAATAACTTGCCTGCAAATTAAAATGCAACTTGAAGATTCTAACAGAAAGTATATAACTGTTATAAAGGTCAAGGTACTTTTTGCATGGTGTGTGACAAGTTCTCAGGCAATTTTTCCTAAGCCACTGTCTTGAATGACACAAGTTTGGTCCAAGTACATCCATCACCATTTTTTATTCTTTTTTTGTTCAGAGGAGGGGCTGTCATTTATATTTTCCAAAACAAGGAAATAAAAATCAAACTAGTATAGTTAGAAAATTGTTGTTTTTACATACTGTCTGAAGTTGTATGATTTTTGTAAAACAATAAAACCATTTTCCAGTACATGAGAAGTATTTTGGGTTATAAACTATGACCAGAGTACTCTGACGCCACTGACATTTTTGCTTATACAATAAAATGGACAAAAAGCGTCACAAATTAAACGGCAAAAAAAGTCATGTTACATGAGGATGGCACTTACTCTCCCCTCCCTCACCATGTCGAGACTCGTTGCATTGCACTGCAAAGCCTGCTGGGATATCGTTTTCAGCCGAGTGACGCAAAGGCGAGCAGACCTCATGTCTGGCGATTTAGTCCACTTTTGAAAGAAAACAAATTTCTTCAAAAGTGTGGGGTCTCCTCACTGATTCTTGTCGACTTCATAATCTTTCAGTTCCTTTTCACCTTCTTTTGTTATTACCGTCAATTTCCCTGCGGAAGTTGGCGGTAATTTCGAACAACACATCGAATCTTCTGTGGAGTCGACGGCCATTTTCAACTTAACTTATTTATTATTCGTCCGATTCGACACCATTCTACACTCGATCGCCACTTCTATCCGTCTTTTTAAACCATCTTCTTTCGATATTTCGCTTCTTCAAGTTCTGAGATCGTCGCGATGGCTCAGAAAACGCCAGTCAGCCTGATGAACGAACTTGCGAAAGCGAACAAGATGAATCCTGAATACAAAGTCATCGAAGAGAGCGGACCAGCTCACAAGCGAACCTTCACTGTTCAACTAACCCTGGGTGAAGTAGGCACATGGCAAGGCAAAGCAACAAGCATTAGAAGTGCCAGGCATGCTGCAGCCACCGCGGGTTTGGAGAACTGTGGGCTTTGTATGCCAGAAAAAGAAAAGCCTAAAATTCAACAATTCAACGTGACTCCAACTGTAGAATTAAACGTGCTGGCAATGAAGCTAGGCAAGCTGACACAGTATCAAGACCTGCAGCCTAAGATCCCATCGTACCACCAACCACATGTCAATATGGGCTACCATGGTCTTCAGATGCAACAACAGCTTACGGGAATGCACCACCACATGCCCCGTCCACGCTCCCCTTATGGCATCCCCCATCCAGGGCAGGAGAATCATTTTCGCCCTTACATCCAAAATGGCTACCGGCCCCGTTCTGCACTTCCTCGCATACCCAGGATCGCCTGTGTGAAGCTAATGGTAGGAGATAGGGAGTTCTATGGCGAGGGCCCTGACAAGCAAAAAGCGCGGCAAAATGCGGCAGAAAAAGCAATCAAGATCATGCGTGAGGAGCTGGCTGCTTCTGGACAAAAGGAGAGTTCTAGCAATCTGGAGGAACAGAAAGTGTTTGTTCAGAACGCTGAAGCCACTGTTAATGGTAACAAACCAGACATTACACCCAATGAAAGTGTCACTGAGGTAAAATCTGAGATCAGTCAAGTGTATGAGATAGCCTCCAAACGGAAGCTGCAAGTTGGATTTGAAGATGTGAAGAGCAGTGGTCCCCCTCACATGAAGCGTTTTGTGATAAGTGTCACAGTGGGTGAGTTTATGACCGTGGGCGAAGGTTCTAAGAAGAAAGACGCCAAGCTAGAAGCGGCAAAGAAAATGCTTGAAGAGCTACAGAAACTACCTGAGTTACCCAAAGAGGAGACCAGCTACAAGAACAGTGGCCGGTTTGTTCGTCGCGGGCCTCGTATCTCGAACTGGAAAACAAAGGGAGAGATAAATCCCTCCCTGAATCCAGTAAGTATTCTTGGGCAGATTCTACAGCGCAGACATGAGCAACCACCCATCTACCAAATGCTTCATGAGAAGGCTATGGCACATGACAGAGAATTCACCATAGAGGTGACTGTCGGGCAGCACAAGGCTACGGGAGCTGGTCCGAACAAGAAGGAGGCCAAGAAGAAAGCTGCTGAAGCTATGTTACAGCTGATTGGATTTCGCTCTGCTGACGGACAGCCAGCTGCAAATATCTCGCAGGTTAAACTTA